CATTGCATAGAGCTTAATTAATTAACCACAGGAACAAATTTATCTTTATTATTATTATTATTATTATCATATTCCTGAGTCATATTACAACGTCCTGTCCGTTAACCAGGTTCAGCTTTGTCCGTGGGGCAGATATCATAACAGCTCCATGGGAACTCACTCGTGGAGCTGAGCCCTTTTTGAGAGGCTGTCAATTGTGCAGCTACTCAAGAACTTCCCAGCATTTTATGGAACACGAAGGTTCATTACCATGTTCACAAGAACCCTCCACTGGTCCCTATCCTGAGCCAGACCAATCGAATCTAACCATCCCATCCTATCTCTCTAAGATCCATTTTAATGTTGTCCACCCACCTACGTCTTGGTCTTCCCAGTGGTCTCTTTCCTTCTGGCTTTCCCACCGATATCCTATACGCATTCCTCCTCTCTCCATTCGTGCTACTTGTCCTGCCCATCTCATCTTCCTTGACTTGATCATTCTAATTATACTTGGAGAAGAGTACACGTTATGAAGCTCCTCATTATGCAGTTTTCTCCAGCCTCCTGTCATTTCATCCCTCTTCGGTTCAAATATTCTCCTCAACACCCTGTTCTCAAACACTCTTAGTCTGTGTTTCTCCCTTAAAGTCAAAGACCAGGTTTCACACCCATACAAAACCACAGGCAAATTATAGTTTTGTATATTCTTATTTTATGTCTTTAAGACGGCAGATGAGAAGACCAAACGCTCTGGACTAAATGGTAACAAGCATTACCCAAGTTCACGCTCCTCTTAGTTTCCTCCCGAATCAGATTTTGATTTGTTATAGTCGTTCCCAAATTTCTGAACTGTGGCTCCATGGGAACTACATTTTAAAAAACATTATAGATTCAATTCTGCATTATAATCTGCGCGAATATGCAGTTCTGCCCTGCACAAGACGGTGATTCTGGGATCTTGGGAGGGATGCGTGTCTAAGCCAGCTTTGAGGGTGCACAGTGACGTGCATCGTTACCTCACTATTCGAAAGTTACTAGACTTACGATGGGAACCAATATCGCTATACTGGAAATTTCGTCGAACACAATGATATTATCTTCCATGAGGTCATATACTGAGGTGGTGATATACACTTAGAAATGTATTAAACAGAATTTAATTATTATTATTTCCTCATCGTTATGCTATCACCAAGCTGCTGAACGTGTCCAAATTTGCTGTTTCAGAAATATTAGTCATGTTCCTCGCTAGCGCCTGAGCGGCTGCATGAATTTTATTCATATTCGGTTTTAAAGAATTTCACTGTGATAGGTCGGTTTTCGGTGAATATGAACATTAATCCAGATAAAAAAAACAGGGTCCCTTCAGGTGGCCTCACAATACAAAATATAAATTTCGTAGAAAACGCCTGTAATGACTTTAATTAAAATTCAGCAATTTGTGGAGAGCTTCTCTTCAAATAGAACTACACAGGCGACATCTTCGGAACTGTAACGATAGGCGCAATAGGGACAATTTTTTTTTCGTCAGAAGTATTTCATTGTTCTGTATTCAGCGACCAATAATGGTCTACCAAGCAACAATTAATTTAATTACCAGCTTGACGTAGTCAAGGTCAATCTTATGTGAGAAATGAACTGCAACATGTTTGTACCAATTTTTTCAGCAGTAGTGGTATTTTTTTCGAAGAGCCGGGATAGCGACTTGCTACAGGCTGGACGACCGAGAGGTCGGAGTTCGAGTCCCGAGAGGGTCAAGAATTTTCTCATCTCGGCGTCTTCCAGACCGGCTCTGTGGTCCACTCAACTTAAACTTCCCATCTAATGGGTACTGGGAGCTCTTTTCCCCGGGGTTAAGCCGCCAGAGCGTGAAGCTCACCACTCACCTCCAACTGGTACCGAAGTCAAGAAAATGTGGATCTATACATCCACTCCTCCATACTCCTTCATGGCGTACTGCTTAATTAATTAAGCACAGTGACAGCTTTACTTTTAGTGGTATTTTTAGGACGCTGCTACAGGGTGTTTTGCAGATCGCGTATAATCCAATTTTCGGGGTTCCTCAAATATTTGTTCGGACTTATATTCACGCGTATAAACTAAACATTATTAGAGGAATTATATACATCTGAGGAACTGATTTCTCATTGTGAAGCATCGGGTTCAGTCCCGGGTAACTTCATTATGGCATTGAAACTGGTTTCTGTTCGAGCTTCTCAGTTTATCCCTTGCTAACCATCATTCTACCATTTCTCCATGATCTGTTACCGCCCCCAGGAGTGTTCGAGATCTCTGACCCGATATTTTGCTGGTTATAGAATGAGGAAATTTGTCCAGTAGTGCAGTAAATATAAATTCTTCTTTACAGAGGCTCAGGTGACATCATGTTCACCGATCAGTGGCGGTGCCACCACAGCAAGTCGCAGTCCGAGCCCCGTGGTTGAACGCCAGAAGACAAGCAGTGGCGGTTCGTGCAAGCGCATCCGAACGGCATTTACAAGCACACAGCTCCTGGAGCTGGAGAGAGAGTTTGCCTCTAACATGTACCTGTCACGCCTGCGCAGAATTGAGATTGCGTCTTGCCTCAGGCTCTCGGAGAAACAGGCGAGTCTCACATTTTTGCGTTTATTGTAACGGTAAATCTGCATTTGTGAGTCAAAAACATGATGTTTTCTGTACGCTAAGTGGAATTTGTAGGACTCTTAATGCAGCCAAATACGATAATGTAACCGTCTTTTCATGGATTGTTCAGCGACACCGCTGACAGTTAAGAAAGATGCATGGTAGAAAAATGGCGAATTTTGAAAGATTTAGGAGGAAGCAGCCATTCCCTAATTGTACTATTATGTGGGCGTTTACCCGGAGTGACTGAATACAACCACAGAGAACCTCGAGATAGCCGGTGTCGTGGCTACATGTGATATAGAAAACACCCTAAAAACGTGTCTAGCATTACCGCTACACTAATCCGCTGGGAGGATTACCATTTGTAAAAAGGAACAGTCGGATCCTACTGTCCATTCGAGACGTCACGGTTTCGAATACAGACCCAGAATCTGGATATTGTAACTGAGGTTGATCATTGTTTTCCTCAGTCCCACTGCGTAATGAGGAGCTTCATAACTTGTACACTTTGCCAAGTATAATTAGAATGATCAAGTCAAGGGAGATGAGATGGGTATGACATGTAGCACGCATGGGAGAGGAGAGACATGCATGCAGGATTTTGGTGGGGAAACCAGAAGGGAAAAAACCACTAAGAAGACCTAGACGTAAATGGGATAAGAATAAATGGATCTTAGAGAAATATGATGAGGTGGCATGAGATGGATTAATGTGGCTCGGGGTAGGGTCCAGTGGAGAGCTCTTGTGAACACAGTAATGAGCCTTTGGTTTCGATAGAATTTGGGGGAATTATTGAGTAGCTGAGCGACTACAGGATTCTCAAGGACGACTCAGTTCCATGCAGTTGGTTATTTCCTCAGACTCATCACGCAAATACGAAGGTACTACCTCCACAGTCCACGACCCCCTCATTCTATAGCGTTTCCAATTAGTTACATATCATCTTACCAATCGGAAGGGCGCAGCGGTATTGCTCTGGAAGCAAATTGCTTTTTAAAATATTTAAAAGCTCTAAACTTTAAAATTTCTTCTACATCACTGACCTACGCATACATGTTTCGCCCAACATTGGTTATCTTGAAGAAAGCAGTCTTCTGGGATTTGGCACCGTGTATTTGTGGTGTTAACCGACGTTTCGGAGGAACGTATCGCCTCCATCTTCAGGGTAGAAGAAAAAATATATATAAGAAATCTGCAAGCAAAGAGACCGTGAGACCCGGTAAAAGCAGACTCAATCTTCATGTGTCTCGTTTATGCGCCCATGTGGCCTGTGGTGATGGGTAGTTCCTCTTATTCTGTCGTGTTTAACTCTTATGAAAACATTCACTGCACTATACGGGCGAAATAAGAGAGTTCGTTTACCATTAAATCAGGCGGTAAATATAACAACCGCTTTGATTTTAAGGTCTATACGTGTATATATCATAGTCAGATTAAGGAAGTAAGCAAATACAATTGTACTCTCTTTGCAGGTTAAGATCTGGTTTCAAAATAGGCGCGTAAAGTACAAGAAGGAAGAGGACGGCTCAGGGGGCCAGGGGCCCCGTTGTTGCTGCCTCAGGACATGTTCCACGGCCAACAGAAAGCCAGCGTCTCGGCACAGTCATGGCAACAGCGCACAGACTCATGATTCGTGACGCAAAGTGATGTGGGCCCCGAATTTGGGATTCCATGCAATACAGGAAGTTACTCAGTAACTTGCCTGTAAGTCCACAAGTGTTCCTGTGTTGTAATGAATCATTCTGACACTACTGTTTCGTTGCGAAGTGCATTTCCAGGGACTTGAAACACCAATGACTGTTGTTACGACGAGTGCGTTAGACCGGCGCCACCTTATTTATTTTTCTGTTACACTGAACTGAGTCACGTGCCTTTTAGCGCCATCTTGCCTTTGTGAAAAACAGTTTATCCTTTATTTTTGTACCTAGCAGCTGGAAGTTGTCTTATTTATAAAGAAGCAAGACCAAATTCATTCTTTTGTATTCTTTATTCCGTGTACTAACAAGCAGTGGCGGCTCGTGAATTTCTGTCTGATGATGTTCATGAAAGAATTTCATATAAAGCAAGAATTTAAACATTGTGATGGTTTATAATTTTTAATATGTGTGGTAGTTAATATATGTGTGTTGAGAAGGTAAAGCTATCCCTGTAGCAGGCCGTGGAGGTCCAGAGGGTTGTCAGACGTCGCGGCTCCCACATTTTCTGGACAGTCGGCTCACAGATGGCGGTGAGGTTGACAGCCTTAAGCACCGGCCATTCTTTAACCGCAGGATTATTCCTGGTACTCATTTCCGTTAGAGGCTGAGTCAACCCCAGGGTCATAGTGCGGCTGGAAGGATTAGGCCAATTGAAAAATCCAGTGACCTCATCGGGACTCCAGTCCTTGACCTCCCGGCATGTAGCAGAGTGATATATTTTAAAATGGCAATTTTAAGAGATATGCAAGAATATTTTTCGAAAAAATATTTCTGACACCCAGTAACGAGCCGCTGCTGCACACAACTCCATGGTAACCGTAGAAGAGATGAGTAACATACGTTTCTCCACACACTATGAAATTTGTATTTAACTAAGTTGCTTTAACTGCTGATTTTTCATGCATCGGAATGGGTAGGAAAATAATGATGATGGATAGTAAACGGGTAAGGATTTATAATGTCTGTCCTCCATTGTTTGAGGTTGGTACCTCAGTATTCGAGAGAGCCGGGATAGCTCAGTGGTAGAGCGACAGGCTAATGACTGGATGGCCAGGGTTCGATTCCCGGAAGGGGCAAATTTCTTCTCGTTTCCAGAGCGTTCAGACTGGCTCTGGGGCCGCCCAGCCTCCTATCCAGTGGACATGAGGGAAGCTGGTAAAGCCACGAAACTCCACAGTGACTATAGCCTGTAATATGGCTGGGATTGATACCGGGTACCCGTCTAACCAAACTAGAGAAATTTTCCATAATGCCAGAAATATTTTTGTTTAAGTTTATCATGGAAAGGGTTAAACTGCTAATGTTGATTCAGCTGTTGAGTCTTTAAAGGTTAAACCGTGAGGATATGAGCAGTATTGCTGACGTTTCGGAAGTACATGGTGCCTCCATTTCCAGCGTCGAAGTGTGTACGGTGGGTGGGTTTCCCTGTTTATGTGGGTCTTCCTTTAAAAACATCATGTGATGTAAATCGGGGCTGTTGTCCCATCCGGGTAAGTAAGGAGAGTGGACAGCGAAAACGTTAGCAACTCCACTGTCCCTATTGGCTCGGACGAGGCACCCATGTGTTTTTTAAAGAAATATACTATACACGGGAACTTTACCTATCCTCTCCACTTCGACCCTGAAGATGGAGACAGCATATACCTCCGAAATATGGCCGCGCCATAGCTCAAGCGGTTAGTCGCTGGCTTCCCACCGCTGCGGCCCGGGTTCGATCCCGGGTCTGGTCAAGTGGGATTTGTGGTGAGCAAAGTGGAGCTGGGGCGTGTTTTCGCCGAGTACTTCGGTTTCCCCTGCCAATCTTCATTCCACCAAATTCTCCATCATCATAATCACCCGGGGAAGGTACAACAGGCCAATCAGTGGCCGCCTTGCAGAGTGGACCTCCACTAAGCGAATTAAAAAAAAAAAAATTACCTCTGAAATATCGGCAGTACTGCCCACGTCTGGGCTGTATGAACACCCAAGAGTTGAAAAAACAGCAGCAGGGAGCCACTGCCAGAGCCTTAAATTAGAAAGGGATAAACTGATCCACTGTGTGGTTGGATTGTTGAAGTCGGTCCATCTATCCTGAGAAGCGGGATGCATCTTACCTTGTATAGGCAAATTTATGGAAGAAAATTCCTGTTTATCTATGTTCGAATTTCACAGCTGCAAATGAATACCGGAATTATGTTGAAAATAAAATCCAGTAAATTTATAATTATGACGTAATGGTATACTTCACTGACTATCACTCACTCTCGTCCCCATAATAGATAAAGTATTCGCTACATATCTTCCCAATGCAGTATTTTTCTGGTATGGAAACGGAAGATTAATTATAGTTCTTACGAATATGTTTAATTGTATCCCGTTTTTAGACATATCTGGCTAATAGCTATTCTCGTAAAACATTTTCCTAAGATTTACTTTAATATTATCCTCTTATCTCCTTGTCTGTCTGCGTGATATTTTATATCTAAATGCATTCTTTACACACGCATTGCCGTATGCAGCCGTACGTGACAGCGATATTATTGTTACAAAACATGAAATCATACGCACCGTAGAAAGAAATGATACAAGGTAAAGTTGCTGCTATGCTTAACTAATTATGCACTACGCCATGAAGGCGTATGGGGGAGTGGATGTGTAGATCCATATTTTCTTGACTTCGGCACTAGTTGGAGGTGAGTGGTCAGCTTCACGCCCGGGCCGCTTGACTCTCGGGGAAGATCCCTCGATCCCTCGGTAGCAGTTGGATAGGTGGCTGGGTGGGCCCCAGAGCCGATCTGGACGACATGCAGAAATGAAAATTCTTGCGCCCAGCTCGTAGCCCGTCGCTATACCGACTGCACTATCCCGGCTCAGAAATAAATGAGACGTACAAAAAATGTAAATCTTGAAGAGGCATTCCAAGAAAGTTGTTAATTTTGCTCCTATGTGCATGGATTAGAGTCCGAGTCAATTTATACACCCATTTTTCCTTCGTAAACAACACTGGGGCACTGACGACAAGAAAAACAATTTCTTGCATCGCAGATTTTTCTCCACGAGCACGATAGTGCATGCGTGTGTGTGTGTATATATATATATAACTTTAAAGGTGTAAAATTAGGCTATACTTAATTAAAGCACCACGACTTGAACACATGTGGGGAGTGAACGTATAGTTCCACGCATTCTAAACATAGACTCAAGATGAAGGTGAACGGTCAACTTCATGGATAGGGGCTTATGTGGACCCGAGAGTCTGTCTTAAAGCTCCGAAGAATAGAAAATCTTTTGCCTCTACTGTGAATCGAACCTCAGTTCCTTCACTTTCCTGACCACAGCTTACTCGCTTTAAGTGTATACGTATACTCGTAGTTAGTATACATTAATGTAACATAAATCTATTGCTTGAATTTTAAAAAATACAAATTAGGTGAGAAGTGGATTTTAAATGATTAAATTATTAATAATAATTTAAAATAATTCCATCATGACCTTCTTTTTTAATTCGTATAATAGTGTTCCAGTAGACCTATTGGTATTTTGTCAACGACATGACAATAAATAATTATGTGAAGGCTTTATATTTACAGAATTATTTCGTAGAATCCATTAATAAATTTGCAGTGGACAATGAAAGGGAAATGTATGAATGAATTCGATATACGGCAATATCGATAAAAAAAAATGAATGCTTACAGAACGCACTCGAGTTCTCGCAAGCGATCGTCAGTTCCGGTCAGTTCTATCGAGCGGAAGAAGTTGAGTGAAGTACGCTGTTTGCTGTTCAGTTTCTCATGTTTAAGTGAAGGTGGAAATCGTAGTTATCTGTGCACTACTCTTTACACTTCAAACTCTGACATGTTATGTATGGTTTCCGTAAATAATGCAGATGAAATATGTATGTTACTTTCTTGAATTTACGTGTATATATCACGTGGTCAAGATAATAGGTTAAGGAACCTGCAGTGTGTAATCGTTGTGACATTTTGAAGATACGAACAGGCCTGATGTAGTCCTGAGTGCATGACAACACATAGCGGCGACCGTTTGTGACCTTGATTTTAACATTTGAGGTTATATGAAAGCAGAAATATTCCTGAGTAATTTAATATAGTTTTCACTTATTATATGTGTAAAAATTCGTTGAATCGAATGTTTTACGACGTTCTGTAAACCGCTAACATTATTTAGTGCCAAAGGAGTTATGGAATGACTGTGTAAAATTAATTTGTAGGAGTGTATTAAGAAGCTGGCGTGGTCTGTATTTTAAGTTACTGCTACTGGGTCTGCTGGAGTTACCAGACAAAACCATAGAAGTCTTTCAAGACTGTTGAGTGCTTGGCCAGAATTCTAACATGGGACCTTCCGAGCAAGAAGTAGGCGTGTAAACAACTACACCACAACATCCGGTAAGTTTGATGTTGTTGTAATTATTATCTCCTTCACCACCACCACTTTCCACCTTTAACCTCAGTAATGTCACAAGACTTAGCCCTTTAAAATGGGGTGCACAGCTGCAAACAGCATCTGAAGATCCCTGGACGTTTTCAATAAATATAACATCCCCCTAGAGCAGACATTCTAAAATTTTTGAACTCACGGCACATTGAACAAGACGATAAAGTTGTCAGGGCACACCATCAGTTTTTAAGGAAATATTTTCATTTAAAAAAACGAGTAATAAATTTGTGTTTAAAAGTTTGATTTCTAAAATTCAAACCACTGTGTTGTTTTTATAAATAATATTGATCATGGATTTCAAAAGATTTGTTTTTAAAATTTATGTTCGTATTTCTTATTATTCCAAATACTGAAATGATATATTGAAAAAAAAATGTAATTTTAAAATATCCTATGACATTCCATTGGCCCCCCAAAAAATTGCCCTCTTCCCCTTCTCTCTCTGTCACGCCCTCTCTTTTTCTCAACGAAATAATGAGAAATCACACTTTGAATATAACAGTCTTCTCCATAATGAAAAATATTAATGCTTCATTAATATTTTCTGTTTACAGTAACTATAAAAATTATTTATAATTATTTTTTGAATATTAACATGGAGCAGAAATAGAAAGTTTTATGTAAATATCAGTGAGAAACCTATGCTTGGTGATGTCTCATGATGTCCCTTGTTTGAGGTCGGATGGTGGACAAGCGTACGCTGAAGTCCTCCTCCAGGGTCTGAAGCCGTGACCTGTTCTTGCTCTTCGTCGTGTTCATTGCAGAGCAGCCAGCATCACACAGATGCAATGTAGAGACAGAGATGAGTGCTTCAATCGCCTTCTTTGTGATGGTGGGGTACTCCTGTCTGAGAGATAGCCAGAATGAGGGCCCATATCTGTTGATGAGTGCTTCTGTTTCAGTCTTCTGTCGTTTCATATTTCCGTCAGCTGATCTTCTGCAACAGTTAATTCTGCTGACTCGAGCGCACTTAACACAAACGGATCTCTCATCCATTTCAGGGAAGATACATCTAGTGACGAGAAATACTTTTCAAGCTTCTATAGAATTGAATATAGCATGATTTTTGTCCAGTCCACAAATTTTTGTCAGCTCAAACATTTCACCTCGTTCTCTCTTTCATTCTTGCTCTCAACAGTGTTAGTTTTTCCTTAATAGGGATAATTTTGTCAGTAAAAGTAAGGATATTTTCTGAGAGTGTTCAAGGCTTCTGAGATGTCTGCTAGGAAAGCAACTTCATTACACCAGGTCTCATCACTAAGCAGGTCAGCCAGCCCAGACTCCTCAGACGCATACAAAATTGAAAGCTCTTCCTTCAATTCACAGAACCTTGAAGGAACCCGCCCTCCTGATAGCCACCTCACTTCCAGGTGCAGTAGGAGTTGAGTGTGAGTAGCTTCCGCGGCAGAACAGTGCTGGAAGCTACCTTTTGTTTGGCCAAACAACGAATCCTTCCAGGCTTCCCAAAAGAAGGAGACCCGCCTTGGACACTGGACAACTCCTGTCAGATTTACCCACTGAACTAGCCTAGTCCTATATGTTGAAATAGATGGGTAAATCTGACAGAAGTTGTCCAGTGATTGAGATTAGCTCTTTCTAAGGGGCCCAACTGAGTAGGTGTCTTCCTTTCTCACCTGAAGACGGAAACAGATCCAGTTTCCGAAACGTCGTGTCCTCTATTAGCGAAAATTCCGGACGATGGAAAAAGTCCAAAACCCCAGTAATTCTGTGGACTAACTACTGTGTGTGATACTACCAGATCTAATACCAGCCACACTTGATCCATTTCATCATCTGACTTACACTTTTACTTATGAATGTGCCCATGCCCAATAAGTCCTAAAAATAAAAATAAACTAAATTCAGAAATAACAAATAACTGAAACGAAATAGAAATTTTTGATCGAGAAAGTTGGGAATGGAAGTTCTTGGAATTTTATTGTAATTACTTCTTTATCAAACTGTTACTGTTTTCATTCTTATCGGCCTTTATGAAAAATATACAACACTTCTAAACTTTACCTCAATTTTTGTATTTCTCGATATTTTCTCGGTTCTTTTGACCCCCCCCCCAACTTCCGCGGCACATCTGCGGACCGTTCGCGTCACACATGTTGAAAATCGCTTATCTAGAGGGTAGTTGTTACTTTGTTTAATCATATTAATTTCATGGTTCTAATTACGTCATTAATATCTAGTATTTAATTTTTAGTGTACTTCATGTTCCATCCATCTCGTCAACCTTTATCTGATCATTCTTATAGTATTTGGTGATGGTTCCAATTATGAAGCTCCTCATTATACAGTTTCCTCAATACTCCTGTTATTTCCTCTTAGGTCCAAATATTCTCTTCAGCACCCTGTTCTCAAATATCTGCCTGTATTTCTCCCTTAATGTGACAGAAGAAGTTTCACACCCATACAGAACTGCGGTGGTAGTAGTCATCGTAGTAGTAGTAGTAGATGTAGTTGTTGTTTAGTTATGTAACGTATTTATAGTTACAAGAAATAAGTGATCCTGACAGAACTAGAATTTTGCCCTATGATTACACAGATGCTCAGCCTGCATTTTGATTTCTTGTGATGGATTTAAAGTAAAACGTTTAAATCTATCCCTGTAACAGGCCGTGGAGGCTCATAGGGTTGTGAGAAGTCCAGGCTGCCGCATTTTCATGACAATCGGCTAACAGATGGCGGTGAGGTTGTCAGCCTTATGCGCCGCCCGTCCTTTTTTTTTTTCATTGGCGCTACAGTCCTCATTTGGGCCTAGGCCTACCTCTATGAAACTCTCCGTTCGGTTTTACTAGATCTTAGACATTTGGTAGGACTCCTTGGGCGTGTGATCAGCTCGTCGCAAGGCCTCTACCTGTACACAAACACAGAGAAACGCACACAAACATCCATGTCCTGAGTGGGATTCGAACTCACGATCCTGGCTTCCGAGCGAGCGAAGACAGTGCATGCCTTAGACCGCTCGGCTACCGTGACCGGCCGCCCGTCCTTTACTCCTCAGAAAATATTCCTGGTACTGATTTCTGGTAGAGACTGAGTCGATCCCAGGGCCGTAGTGAGGCTGGAAGGATTAAGTAAATTGGAAATACAATGACATCGAGAAACGAACTCGCCACGTTCCGGCTTGTACCGTGTGCCCCTGTAATGAATTTAACATTACCTAAATATGATACAAAGGCACAAACTTTGTATGACCGCAGTTCTCTGTCCGGAATATTTTGTTATTCTTAAAGTAGATTTGATTGAAATGTGATAAGTATTCATTCATCCGAGCCTTAAATAATACAGAAGACCATGAAGGTATTTTTAGCGTTCAATTTATTTTCCTTATTAGCGATTAATTTCCTTAATGTGAATACAGGAAAAAAACAAATTATTACGCTCTGTACTTTTATCAACAAATATATACACTATATTTGAAGAGTACTATCTTCTGGGGCATAAAGCCGTATAATCTGGCAGATGTCTACCGATGTTTCGGAGGAACATGCTGCTTCATTCATCAGGGTTGAAGAGTGATTCGAGCACGTAACAAGCAGTATGTTTCTCCGGAACTACTGGACTGTACGGCATTACATCCCAGAAGATAGAACCCTTAAAATAATTTTATTATTATAATTGGGCCGTTTCTTTCAAAACTTTATTTATAATTCTGCCATATTTTTAATTGTAAACCATTTGAGTATTGTATCAAACTCGTGATTACCAGTAAACAACTTAAGTGTGTACGTATATACGTGTATATACCATATCCATCTGTGTGTGAAGTTCTGTGAGCTTGAGATTAAGAATTTCCATTATGGAATTTTAGGTTGCCATAGCAACGAATTATTGAGCGTTAACATATTGAATAAATCTAAATTTTGTAGTAGGTCACGAACAATGAGCAGATCTCTTTTCAGTGTATCGTGTCTATTCAGTGAGTATTTATCATATTTTGATGTTTGTACATGAAGTGTGGTATATTATAGGCATATAAATGAGACCAATCGCTATTGAGTGTGTGTGTGTGTGTGTTATTCATGGGAGATGGCGTTAAATGTCGGCCCAGACATATCGTTCGATAACGTTTAGGACTAGAACGAAACATGGGACAAAGGAAACGAATTTAATAATATGAAATATGTAGCAAATGATTTCCCATGTGTATATGTATATATATTAGTATACACAATATGATTTAACTTATATGCACCTAGGTCCATGGTGTAGGCATAATGGTCTAAATTTGTATTGGGAACGTGTGTAGTTATATTCTCGGAAAATTTAACAAGCATTATGAGGTTTCCATGGTTTTATTTCTATCCTGTACCCGAATGGTAATATAATACCTTAAAATTGGTCATTGTCGCTTCCTTATAATTTCTTGCAAGTTACTGTTCTCCTTATGTAGTCATTCGTGGTTATAACTTCCACTGCTTAAGGAGGGGCTGAGCTTGGAGATTTAACACCATTTGGAAATGGTACGGAGTGTTTTTATACTGTTGGTATAAGTCAAAATTGGCTTAATTAATTTGAGTTGCTTTCTCTTATGGAGTACAGGAGACAGAAGATAAAGCAAAGCTGCAATGCTTGCCCCAGAGCGCATATTTCTGATATGGTATTCAGAAGTATGTACATTTCATAAAGGTCTACAGTGCGTTTCTTTGTTTATTGCTAGTGGGGTGGGACCAAGTCACTTGTACTGCGGCCACTTCTGGCCTATTGTACCAGTCCCAGGTGATAGGTGACGGTGACCATTTCTGCTGAATTTCTGTAGTTTTGCTAGTATCTCTCAATTTTAATATTCGTGCGTCCGCCATGTTGCTGTTATCTGTTACAGGAAATTAGAAAGTAAGAAATTGAGATCTCTTCGAAATTGCATGATGTTCATATCAAATTCATGGAATTTAGAAACTCCTGACGGACAGACATGACTATCTCTATAGCCCTAGGC